CAAAATAGCTCACCTTCTAAACGCTCCCAGACTCACTAGCCCAGGCCTGCCTAAAGACAGACAGGGGCGGTGACCAAAACATCCCTGCCGCAGTAGCACTGGCTCTTCTTCTACACTCCTGATGAGCAGCGTGAATGCCCCCCCTGGGGGGGGGGGGAGAACTCCAACAGGGGGGTTGGAACGAATTATGGAACTTCTCAGAAATGGGTTCAGAATGGCAGCCTACATGGCAGGGCTGATTTTTGTAAGTGGGTCTGTCATGCTCCTCCATCCTGGGAGATGGTGTCAGAGCCATCTGACACCAGAGTTCTGGTCAAGGAGAGAGGAAGCACGGTCCCCCGGGTACCTCTTCCCAAAGGCAAGGACCAATGTACGAGTGTAACTGAGACGTCATGTGTTTAGTTTTTATATGTGTGTACATAATTATACATAGAGATAGACTTGTGTATACACCCCCCACACACACACATCCTCACATATACATGTGCTCAATGTATATTCTTGTCTCTCCCGCTCTCAAGTTGGAACTTTGCATTGTGATTCCAGTTTTGGAAGTTCAAAAGTATACAGTGTATTGAAATAAGAAATACTCAATATTGTCAAATAACTTGTGGTTGTCTTGCCTTCAATAAAATAGTGCATAGATGTGTTAAACTACGAGCAAAAATAGTCCACGGAACTACCTTCACCACTGCTTTATGTACCTGTGTGCACAGGTGTGCATGCCTTTGTGGGCCAGTGTCCCCCAGTGTGGGCACCCCACCTCCGTGGTGCTTGTTGGAAGAAGGCGTACCTGCCCCGTGAAAACGGCAGCCTGACTGGCAGTGAGGGCCTTCTCCTCGGGCAGAGCCCCACTGACAGCGCTCTGTATCAGGTCTCACTGAATGAATGTAGAATGGATTTTCATCTTCTCAGCACTGAAGGATACCTTTCTGTATTCCTATAACTCGAAGTAGAAACTCGGTTCTCTTCTCTTGTTCACACAGTCTAAGACATCACGGTGCCATGGCAGACGAAACAGCAGGCTCTGTAACAGATGGAGTCGTTTCCAGTTGCTCTGACCTAAGGAGCTCTGCCTTCCTAGCTTGTACACAAAGCCCCTCTGCCCCCACAGGTGGCCTGGCCTCCTTTTCCTCAGCCAGGCTGCCCAGCTCCTTCCCTAAAGACCTTTAAAGCAGCCAGGCCCCACACAGAGTTGTCCTGGGCTTTCCTCTTGGAAAGCCCAGATCCCAGATCCTCCTGCTTGTAGGTAGGATCTGGTCAGGTTCTCTTGAAGATGTCCGGAAATTATCTCAGTTTCCCCATCTTTGCTGAATCCAGTTCAGTCAGAGGACAAAATGGAGGATTCCTCTTAGGGCACGATCTCAACTTAGTAATTCAGTTCCTCTCCCTGGACACTGGTCCTGGCCTGGCAGGTGGACATGGCCCTCTTCCTTTTCTTTAGGAGTCTTGAAAGAGAGCTGTCAGCAAAACTTCTGTGAGCATTGCAGAACCAGTCTGAGGTGGTGTCACTAAACCCAATGCACGCCAGGATGCAGGCCTGACATCAGTGTCCTGAGTGGGGTCAGAGGCTAGAATGCTTGGTGGCTGGAGTCTCACTGCTGTCAGTCACTGCTCCCTTCCTGTCGCCATCCTGAAACATTTTGCAATATCCCGAGATCCGAGGAGAAGCCATGGTCACAGCAGTTAAAAGTCTCAGGCAACAGAGATAATAAGGGTTGCAAGGTGGTAGCCAGGAGTATAGACACCTGGGCATGGTCTCTGTTACCCAGTGGCTAACTAATGTCAGAGCTCTAATCAGTGCCTGTCCTCCAATATCCAGTGTGACAGTATGGGGACAGCACTGCTGCCTTCAGCGTCCTGCTGGTAGAACAGTTTATTCCTTCTCCGTATGGAAGGAGGAGAGGCTCCTTCCTACCCAGGGGAAACTGGATAGCTGAAGATGGTGAGAACTACACGAGAGCCAGCTAGCAGGACTATGTCTGAATGTGTCAAATGCTCAGGGCTCGATGCTCACTAGTGTCCAAACTACCTCTCCCCCAAGACTGGGAGGCACCATCAGCTTGCCACAGCACTGGGAGCCAAGCCCTTCCTATTTCCCGGGTGGGAGAACCAAAACAGACAAGGTCACCTGCAAGCTGGGCATGATCAGAACCGGTGTCAGCATTCTTCATCCATCTCTGACCTTGGGGTACAGGCAGGACTCCGTCCTGCTGTGCTCGTGTCCCTTAAGCCATCTCTGCCCCGTGGCTAGCACATAAGGGTATTCCCAGCCTGAGAAGCTAGAGAAGCTAGGTGCACTGGGCTCCTCCACTGTAAAGGGTGGTCCCCAAATCTACTTGCGTTGTCTTGTATACACATGTGCACTCACAGAGCGGCAGTCAGGGCATCTTTTTGATTTTTGTTTGAAATCAACTTCTTCGGTATTCCAAAATCTTGCAGTTTCAGTGTGCAAACTCCTTGGACTCCAGACCCCATCTGATTGACACTCTCCGCAGGGAACGATTACCAGGAGGCCCTTACAGCGGGAGTTCAGATGGTCCCTCCAGGAGGCAAGAAGCCTCCATAAGCCTGGAAGGCCAGTCTGCCTATTTGTGGTGTGTTGACTCCTCACCTCACCTGTTCATTAAAGTGAGGTACACAGAGGGTGGCATTTCCAGCTGTAATGGGCTCAGAAGGCACAGTGGCCATATTGACTTTACATTCAACTGTGTAATATGTGGAAAAGACTCAGCATGTTGGTCAAACAATAAACTGTCCTAATTCTCAACACAAAGCTTGTCGACTGTGTCTAAATGGTGTAGCTGTATGTAAGAGCTTAAAAAGCATGTTTCCTCAAAGACTCTCTGCTCTCTGGGTGTTGTGTCCCTACACAGCATCCTTGCCTCTTGCTCCTGCTCTCCCGGGCTCTCTACCAGTTCTAAAAGAAAAGTGTGGACTGGTTAAGATTGTGTTCACAAGCCCTCCCAATCCAATCTTTCTGGGAAACTCAAGGTGTATTTACCATCACTCCCAAGCTCAACTTGACACAGCTAGAGGTTAAGGCAGAATGCAGGGAGGGGCTAGGTTTCTTATTCTCTTGATTTCCAGACTATCATTTAAAGGCAAGAATGTAAGGGTAATTATGATCACCTTTTAAATGACACCAGCCATGACCACCCACAGCTTCTCCCCACACCAGTCAGGGAGCAGCCTCTCAGAGGTCCCTCAGGTTGGACCTTCCTCCAACCTAGCATGTGCCCTGAGCCACCTCAAGGCCACTACTGATGAAAAGAGGATGTAAGACCCTGCCCACTGCCTTAGAGGGATTATATAGTCATAAGGTGTGAGGTGTGCAGGTACTGGCAATGATGGCAAAGGGTGGAGGGATAAGAGGTTGAAAACATGATTACATGGGCCAGATGAAGGTGAGAAGAGAGGCAGTCCTTTCCTGCACAGCTGCCCGGCAGTCCCTGAAAGACTGGAGAGGTTCTCCAGGTGTGCACACAGAGGACATTGATTGCTCTGCTTCAGGTGGGCCGTGTAGCATTCTGGATGGCTTTCCTAACCACTGCAAGAGTGGCCACTGTTTGTTAAGCTCAAATTTTATGTCAGGAAAACTTTGCACTCTTGAATATGAATATATGTGTGTGTGTGTGTATCTCATAACCTGAATACACACACACACACACACATTCTTTTTCAGGTCAATAGAACATGGCTAGGTGTTCCACATACTGACTGAGGCTACAGGAAGAGAAATGATGACCTAGGTAGGACCATGTGGCTGGCACAGGGGAGAGAACAAGGGGATGGTGGTGTGCACCACAGAGGCGATTTGCAACAGCATTCGCTGCTTTAGATGAGAATGGGAGTGAACCAGTTTTGAAAATTCTTTAAGAAACAACAAAACAAACAAAAGCACATTCTGGGTGAAAGGATGTCAGTAGAACACCTGATGCCAGGAGGTACTGGAGGCCTTGGGAGGCAGTGGCAGGGTTTCCCCAGCGGTTGCTCCTAAGAGCTGAGGCCCCACCAGAAACAGCGAGAGACAACCACCGTAAATGGATCTGTATGCATGTTCTGTGGACATTCCAGAAGTGGATTTACTCCAGGCCTTAGATGCAACTGCCCCTTTACAGCTGGGATTTACAGCAGCCCATAGCAAAGCCAGGGCCTCATACATTCTAGGCAAGCAACCTACCAACCTAGTTTACAGCTCTGCCCAGCTTACCTTTTGGCCAAAACCAGTCTGGCTATAAATGACACTTACCCTTGCTCTCTGTCCTCATCAATTTATGTACTGATTCTCCCAATAAGTTAAAATCACTTTATTACCCAGAAAAAAGGAAGGCCAGTGCAGTGAACATTGTTCTTTTGCTGAAACATCTGCTTTTTTTTTTTTTTTTCACAAGCATCTACTGTGGTTGAATGTCATTATTCACACTCTTCCCATTTGTTCTTGACAAATATGAAACTCAGTGTTCAAAGGGCAGTAAAAATCCTAGCAGTGATACTGCTTTCCAGTGAGAAGCAACAGGGTCACTGCATGACTCATCCATTTTGTGGTGTATTTGTCTCATATACCATAAGCAAGACCAATGAATGTTTTAGGGAGCCCCCAGTACTTACAATAGGAACAGTGGTCTGGGACTGACTGTCAGCACAAGTGACCCACGGGGAGACCATGTGGTATCAGGCAGAGACCTGGGCTGGACTGCACAGAAAGGACTCTGTGTGTTTACTCTGTGACCCTCACTGGTCCCTCAAGGCCAGCCCCAACACTGTACCTCTTGAGTCATGGCTCTCAGATGGTGTCTCTGAGAGTGAGGAGAATGAAGGGGCTGTGGTTTGTACACATGCAGCAATCTGTGGGCTTGGCAACCTGGAGCTGGGGCTTGAATCCTAGCTCAGGTTCTCATTTGTACTCATTATTTGATTTCATGCTTTCAGTAGACATTATTTATCAAGACACCAGTCATTTATAAAAGCAACAGAAAACACAAATCTTTAACACAGCATTATTTTGAAAAGGCAACTTTTTTTAAAGCATGAACAAATGCGTACTTAAAAGTATACAGTAGATTTTTTAAGTTTGTATTGTGCCACAGCCTTCTAGATGAGGTGAACAACAGGAGCTGATCAAGCAGCACAGCCGACAGCCCGGGCTCACGCACCCCCCGAGGCAGCCGTGTGCTGTCTCCCAGCTGTCCCCAGTGGAGTCTCTACAACATACTAAACCCTGAGTGCCTGAGCACTTGGCTCTTACGTCCCCCAGGCAAGGGTGACTCTAGGGGTTCAGTGGCTATTCCGCCCAAGGTGGAGTGGACACAAGTCACTGCGACCGTGAAGAACACACTCAACTGTGCCCTGTGGTTCTGAAGCTGTCTTCACTGTAACTGCCTTCACACTGGAGACTTTACTAAGAACTGACAGTGTACTATGCCAAAACAACAGGGGCAACTGGGAATTAACTGGTCCATAAATAGGCAGGTATGGTTCCAGGAAAAGGGACCACCGCAGACAGGCAGGAGACAAGACCTTTCAGATGATAAGCCTATCCTCATGTAATGCCCTGTCTGTTCTATCTCACACTAAAGCAATGCTACACCTAACAAAGGAAGAATGAAAGAATTAAATAAAAAGGCCTAGTTGAGAAAGAAGCTGCCGGGGCAGGACTACTCTCAGGCTGGTATAACTGTTTATAGAACGAGGAGATGCTGCAGACACTACTTTTATCAGCTCCTCTTTATCAGCTCCACACCACCACAGCCCTTTCCCAAACTGCCAGTCAGTCACAGATGACCAAGGTTTGCGGCCACGGCTGCCCCTCAGGCGATCTTGGCCAGCCACTTTTCCAAGTCCTGGATGTCAGCAGAGCCGGCGTCCCCTCGTCCACCCTTGGCACTACACTCCAGGAACTCTACTTTGAGGGGCAACTGGGAGAATTCAAACTCTTTGCCTTTCTTTCCCAACTGAGTAGGTGCAGTGCTGGAACTGTCCAGGGTGCTGGGAGCAGCAGACCGTGTCACTCGCAAGGTGTTGCTGTGGGACAAAAGAACAAATCAGAAGCAACAAGCAACAACAATCTATTAGTTCCAAAGTCTGTCAGCACCATTAAAGACTGACAGGAAAACTGTCAAGTCGCTATTGACATTGCTGGCCTGTCCTTTGTATCCATGGATCACTGTTTCAGATAGACAGAGGAGATGGGTCCAACTGCTCTGTTAGCCAGATGTTGGCTGGTTAGGGACTCAGGTCACACCAGCTCTTTTAAGCCTACGCCTACCTCTAAGATCTCCAGATTGACGCCATTGAAAATACAGTTTTAAATGTATGCCATATTATAAAACTTAAGGATTTGTAACTCAGCACAGATAGAGAGTCTTCTTGGATGTGAAGCTCATCAGCCCACAAACTTCTGTCTCATTCATCCTCTCTGTTGTTTTGCTGCCAGCTGCTGGTCCTGTTGGAGCACGCATGCCCACCCACTTCCTGCCAGAGACTAATTCTTATAAAAACCACATCTAACGAAAATCCCAAGCTCCCAGCATTTAGCAGGCAGAAACAGGAGGATCTACATAGGGAGTTCCAGGCCAGTAAGGGCTACCTAATTAAATCCTGTCTCAAAAAAAAAAAAAAAAAAAAAAAAAAAAAAATCCTTTTACAAAAGCAGTGGGAAAATGTAACTGGATTTACTATATTGGTCTTTTCTTCTACTAAACAAGCTTTTGACTAGTTATTGGCACAATACAAAAACATGCTAGATTCCTTATGCTCAGAGTTTATCTTACTCAACTTACAAGTTTTTCTTTTGAAAATATTTATTTATTTATTATGTATACAGTGTTCTGCCTGCAGGCCAGCGAAGGGCACCAGATCTCACGATAGATGGTTGTGAACCACCATGTGGTTGCTGGGAATTGAATTCAGGACTTCTAGAAGAGCAACCAGTGCTCTTAACCTCTGAGCCATCCCTCTAGCCCCCAACTTACAAGTTTTTCACACTAAAAGCACCACCAATAAATAAGATTGCCAATAGCTTGAAAATAATATAAGAAACTACAAAACAGTAAAATAGATTTTTATATCCTTCCTAAGAGTTCTTGTTTTGTCAACAATAATTTCCAGAGGCTCAAATTTTGTCTTCTGGGCCAGGCTCTCAGTGTATGGCTGGGCAGGCCTGGGACTCCCTGCTTCCTGAGTGTGGGGCTGCGACAGCAGCGCCACATCTAGCTTCCAGCGGCTCTCAGCTTTTATGTAATATTTTTTTGTACATGACCTTTTAACATCACTTTACATGCCTTACTGTGAACAATCTTCATTCACTGAAATAAAATTATTCCAAACTTGGAGCTTGTAAGTCTCTAAAACCTTCCAACTGTAAAAGTAACTAATTAAAACAAAATGAGCTAATGGCTTCAATAAGTCATGAAATTTTAAAATAGCTATAAACATCCCATTAGTGTTTCTATAATTCTTTTATAAATTATTTAGCACACATATTCCATACTAATCCTCTGATAATCATATAAAACCAAAGGTTAATTGTGCCTCAACCCTGAACACTGAAGTGTCAGGACACTTTGCCAGGAGCACATGCACACTTACAGTTCCTTTTCAAGCTGCTGCTGAATTAACTTTGCTGATTTTGCCATTGCGATATCTGTGAAGAAATAAGAGCATTGTTCTAGTTTAGATCAGAGTGTGTCTTCTCCCTGGACTTCTAGCACAGAAAATCCCTATTTTATACTAGGGAGTTCACACCCCCCCCCATTTCTTTGTTAAAGCAGTTTTTATCACTATTTATTTGTCAAAGTAAATGCTGTATTTTTGCGTTTTTGAAAAATGCTTTAAAGCATCAAATGCAATAAAACATACTGTTTTAGCACTAATGACCCTAAAACTAATTAGGCTTAAGTTTTCAACACCTTACAAGCCTTTCAGTACTTACACCTGTCCAGTCAGTTCAAAGAAAGAAAGTGTGCCAGCACAGTGACTGACATTTGACGAGAGCTTTCAACACAACACCACCATATTCACCAGTAAAAGTGAACCTCACAGGCAGCCTTCGAGCCCAGGGGGCACAAAGCCCAGGCCAAATCAGTACTGACTGCCTCCTTTTACAACATATGAGAAAGAGGCAAGAGCTGGGGCTACAGAGATGGCTTAGTGATAAGAGTACTGGCTGCTCCTCCAGAGGACCAGGGTTCAAGTCCCAGCACCCACAACTGTTTGTTACTCCAGTCCTAGCAGATCCAACGCTCTCTCTAATCTTCTCAGGCACCGGGTATGCACAATATTCATAGAGATACATGCAGCAAAATGCCCACACCCATAAAAATGCCTTTTAAAAAGAAGCTGAGAGCAGTACCTCTCATCAGGTGTTAGAGTTTTTAAAAACCACTTCTGAAAAATGCTTCAGGCTCCTGAGAAAAATGTACATGGGAAAGAGTTCCAAAAGACCGACTCTTATTTGACAGTTATTTGAACTGTCACAGAGCTAAAGCCCAGCCAACCTGAGTGTGAGCACAGGGATAAAGGGCTGCAGTTTCCTCTGGTAGAACCTGCTCAGTGGTAAAGCCTGTTTGGAAGGAGAGGCCCCAGCAACGCCTCCAGAACTGAAGTCCTCCAGTAAGTGGCCTCAAAACTAACATTTGGCAAAGTATTTATGACCTTTAAAATAAAAAGCACTGTATCACTGTATCATGAAAAAGGGCTATAAAAACCCAGCCCCTCAGCTGCCAGTCCTTAGAACAGCATGATAAAAAGACTAGGAAAGTAACAGAAACATTCTAAGATTTACTCCCTTAATTAATGCTTAATTACAGGCCAGTGACCCCCATGCTCAACAATAACAACTGAATTCTCAGTAGCAATCCTAGAATAACCCGCTGTCATCGCCAGGAAGCACCTTGCTTATTGCAGGCTATTAAGAAGAACGGTGTGTTCTTCAGAGCCATGCTGTCAATGAGGACCTGATACAGAAACTCAGCCACGTCTTTCACCTCCCGCTGGAACGTTGCGCTATCGACCACGAACACCACAGCCCTGCAGGGAAAGTTAAAGGAAAGAGGCTCATGAGCACACAGTAGCAGGCAGGAGCCACGAAACAGGACCCCTGGTGTCCACTCTCCCCTGGAATAAGAGCCCTAATAAAATCTGGGTCAGATTCATCAAACCTCTATGGTGCCAACAGATGGACATAACTCAGTGCTACACACACACACCCACAGAGACCTTGATTTAATAACAATAATAATTTTTAAAAGCTGTGGGAAAGCTAAAAGGACACAAGCAATGATTGATGTCTGCTCTCGAAGGCCAAGAAATCATCCTACAGATCTCCTTGATAGTGCCCACAATGGAGTAAGAACAAAGAGGAAGACACTTGAGTAAGACCAAGTGAAAGACTATAAAGGAAGATGTAAAGCTGAGCAGACAAAGCAAACAAACACCAGGCACAGACTACTGGGGAAAGGTACAAATAAATAAAACACCTTAGAAAGAGTGTGCTTCGGGGGGAAGAGGAGTGAGCATGGGAAAGCTGGGTCAGAGAAAAAAGGTCCATGACACACTGACCTTGAAGCTTGTGCCTTCCTGTCCTACAAAGGCCTAAGTGGAAGAGCACTCTTGGGAGCACTCTTGGGAGGAAAACTCTAGGACTGTAAGCACGTGGGGCCTGACCTCAGGCAACAGGAGTGAAAAATCATCCTGTACCAGAGGTAATGCATGGGAAATACAGACACCAGGTCCTAGGGGCCAGGGTGGAAAGATGTGCAGTGGCTTACAGGCCCTGGGCAACTGGACCAAACACCTTACACAAAGCCTCCAACTCAAAGGCAGTCTAATGGAGGCTGTGATTTGAAAATAATTTCCAAAGAAATTAGCACACATAGTCTTCAATGTCTACGGGGCATTAAATGGACACTCATCCCTGGCATAAGAGCCCTAATAAAAACTGGTCAGATTCATTAAACCTCCATGGCACCAACAGATGGACATAACTCTACCTGGAGTCTGCCTTTCATGTCCTAAAGTAAAAACGCCCACCAACCTCATTCTCTTGAAGGAGGGGTTCTGGATGGAAACATAGATGGAAATGTGCAACTACAGAGAGAATAACCAGCACCCCCACACTGGAGGTCAGAGCAGTCTACAAAGCACGTGTTTATGGGCTGGATATGTAGCTCAGTTGGTAGAGTACTTGCATAGTAAGCACAAAGCCCGATGTCCCATCCCAGGCAGCGTAAAACCAAGCAAAGCACATGCCTGTAACCTAGCACATGGAGGAAGAGGCAGGAGATCAAAATTCAAGGTCATCTTTGGCTAAACTGTGAGTTTAAGGCCAGCCTGAGCTACATGAGATTCTGTCTCCAAAAAAAGTCATAACAAAATATATGCTTAAAATTGTTTTAGAAGAGAATACTAGAAATAGAAATAAAAAGGATACTTTTAAAAGAAACATAAAAATAGTAAATGGAATTGGCAACTAAATGGAAGCCTAAGCAGAGGTTACTTTCAGCTCAAAAGAACACAGCAGATTGGAGAGGATAACACAACCCTCAAGGGAAACGGATTTGTTAGATAAACTAGCAAAGAGATAGGCCAGAGAGAAGGTCCCATGCTCTGACAAGTGAGAGAGTAGACAGTACCATCTGTTGGAATCACAGGGTTTGATGAACTTGGCCCCGTTTTTATGTTACTCTTTCCCTTGGGGCTCTTATACCTGCAGAGTGTCCAGTCATGACCCAAAGCTGTGAGGCATGGAGGCCAGGTGTTTCGATTTCTTTTGGAATTACTTTTAAGACATGGCCTCCAATACACTGCCTTTGAGCGGCAGGCTTTGTGCAGGTCCATGCCCGGGGCCTGTTGGCCATCGCACTTTACAGTTGATAACGTCCTTTGGTGTAGGGTGGTACACTTGAATTCCAAACACCTCAAAGCCAAAGACAGATGGCCCAAAGGGAAATGACTATTACACTGGCAATTGTGCTCTCTGTAAGAGCAGATGTAGAGAGCCAGGAGTCTCCAAGGTAGCTTCAAGTGAAAGGAAGCAATTTCATGAAACATTCACCCTTACAGACACATGTCTAGCAGATACACTGACAAAAACAGAACCTGAAAGGAAGAAGGAGAATTTGGCAAAGAGCAAAGCAATCATAAACATCAGATCCATTTAAGTAACCACTGGATGTCAGAAAGAGGAGCAACTGCTGGCAGTTACAGAGGTGCATACCCAAAATAACAGAAGGTCTGAGGAAGATCAAATCACAGCTGATTCTGCTCATGAAGAGGAACTGGGTACTGACTGGATACTTTTGTTTACTGTTTAAAATGGGGCAGGAGGGACGGGAGAGATTGCCAGGGATTAAGAGCACTGACTGCTCTTCCAGAGAACCAGGTTCAAGTCCCAGCAGCCAAATAACAGCTCACAACTGTCTGTAACCCCAGTCCCAGGGGATCCAACACCCTCCAACAGGCATACATGCAGTCAAAACACCAATGCACACAAAAACTAAAGAGAAATCATTTTTAAAAATTGTTTAAAATGGGGCAGGAATCTACAGAAAGTAAAAGTAACATACTTTTATATCAGTAGATGGGAAATGAATCTTAGGCAAGAAGGTAAAAAAATTTTTTTATTGAGAAATGGATATAATCGAGTCACACTGTGAAACACACAAATACAAAGACATCTCATAAATAGGCATTTCCCTTCCAATTGTCTTTAACCCATTTATGTATTAAAATATTTATACTATTAAATATTGATTTTAGAAAATAGCAGGCTTCATCATGGCTTCAGATACACATGTATCTTCAGTTTTACAAATTGTTTTGAAAATTTGCAGAACAGAATTTTTCATTCTAAAATGTATATATGAACCATTTGAACATCTCAGTAAAACAGATATTCTCTATTAATCAATCTGGCACAGAACGTTAAGAGTTTCCATTTTTTCCTACATAATATTTGATTTGCTGGTCTTGGAGCCATCTTGTAGCAAAGAACTGAGACCCTCAACTTGCTTTAGGATTATTGCCAACTATCCAAAAGAAGAAAAATATCTACGACAGATCCTAAAAAAGAAAAATATCTATGGCAGATCCTATAGCAGATCAACACAGACAAAATGAAATGTAATAATATTTTTTATTTGTTTTTTTTATTAATTACAGTTTATTCACTTTCCAGCTGTAGCCCCCTCCCTCATCCCCTCATAATCCCGCCTTCCCTTTCATGCCCCTCTCCAAGTCCACTGATAAGGGAGGTCCTCTTCCCCTTCCCTCTGACCCCAGCCTATCAGGTCTCATCAGGACTGGCTGCACTGTCTTCCTCAAAGGTAGAATTTTTAAAAATATCAACTGGGGCTCAAGATAAGAGCACTCCAGTCCAGGGGAGACAGCACCATGTTCTGGCCCTTCAGGGACCTGCACCTACATGTGCACAAATAGACACACCGGCACACACACACAAACTTAAAAAAGGAATCTTAAAAAAAAAGAAAAATGTCATATACCATAGTAAAAGTGTTTTCAACGTAACCATGTATTATGAATGAAGTCTCTGTTTTATCTTTATATGCTGAATATTCTATTTATCCAAAATACTTGGATAACAGAGCATAATTACTACAAACTCTAAAATCTTTAAAATAGAAAAAGAAAAAAGGGCTGCTTTTGAGACAGTTTCACTATATTGCTTAGGCAGGTCTCAAAGTTGCAATCCCTCTGCCTCAGTCTCCTAAGTAGTGTGTGCCACAATGCCCAACAGGAGGAAAAAGAACACCCAATTATTGCCAAAATTAGCAGTTCTAGATATGTCTCAATTGTCTGAGAATAAAAATTATATCCTCGTCTATGACAGATTGCTCATCATCATTTTCTTGTGGCAAGAAGCAATGACAAAATCTAAGTCTACACATGTTCAACAAAAAGGAAGCTAGGATGCCATCAGTCAAAAGAAACAGTAATACCCCAGGCACAATACTGTCAATTAAACTATCACAAAATCATCTCCAAGATGCTTTTCAAATTCAGTTATCAAAATATGTCTTCACATCGTTATAATGTATCATACAAATTTATCTCTTTGGTTTTAGATGGCAAACATGAAGAAAGCATTTGTACTTTCTTCATTTGTACTAGAGCGTACAAATTTTAAGAAAGAATTTAAACAATGACATGAGGACTTAACACTAAAGACAGTTCTTTCTTGAGGAATCAATTTAATATAAGAATAGACAAGCTGGGTCACCACACTGCCTCTAGCTTTTGGCTTGGTTTCACAAGGGAGATACACAAGGGAAATAAGAAGGAAGGTCTCTATATTATGAAGTAGACTGCTCCAAACCCACTAGTGGAAAAAACTCCCAGCAAACAACTGGCTACAAAGCTGCTTATAAGAGCACGCTGCTACCGTAGGGGTGAGGAGACCTCATCATTTTATGTGGTCCTATGGTACTCTATGGATCCAGACTCCCATTCAGCATTTGGTGCAGGAACTGCAGGGAGTTCAGAGCTACACTTCCGGAGTACAGGCTTTACAGGACTCAAGCCAGGCCTCTCTGGATGGCCTTTTTAAGGATACTAGCTGTGTGCTATCCATGCAAATAACAGTTATGCCAAGGATCTCCAGCCACTATACATGTGGAGAACATGTTTAAGAATCTAAAATGAGAGCCAAGCATGGCAGGGCATGCCTTTGGTTCCAGCACTTAGGAGGCAACAGCAGACAGATCTCTGAGTTGGAGGCTAGCCTGATCTATAGAGTGAGTTCCAGGACAGCCAGAGCTACACAGAGAAGACCTGTTTCAAACCCCAACCCCCAAAAAGAATCTACTATGAGGGAAATGTTTTGTTCTTTAAAACAAAGCAAAGCAAAACATAAAACCCTCTTTGTCCTGTTATCACTAATTCTGAATGTGTATTAGTCCCCTATGGTGTCAAAAGGTTATGATTATGAATAGAAAAACAGGTGACAGAAATCAGGTGCTGGCAGTCTTTCCATTTTCATTTTTCTGTGATTTCCAATATAAATATGGGAGTGGCCCAATGGAGCCAAACTGGGCAAGTTCTGGCAGCTCAACTCCAAGACAATTAGAAATAAACCGCTTACACTTTTCCGGACAATGCTAGCATTTGTAGCATTTCTATGCTTAAAAAACACACAAGGGAATTTCTTATTAATGATTTTTTAAAAAAGAAAGAAGAATCAAAAAGAAAAAAAAAAAAAAAAGACTTGCTAGGTCTGGTGACACACATCTGTAATCCTAGCACTTGGGAGGATGATCAGAAATTCAAGGTCATCCTTGGTTGGATACATAGCAAGTTCAAGGTCAGCCTGAACTACATGAGACCCTATCTCAAAAAGCCAAAACCAAGCAGGCAGGCAGGAAGGAAAGGGAACTTAGTTTATACAAGCCCAACACCTGGGAGGCTGAGGAAGAAAGAGCTTACAGTTGAGGGCCAGCCTGGGCTACCAGGGCTCAAGAGATACTGTCACCTTATCAAAACAAAGACAACAAACAAAATGAGTAATGTTTTGAGTTTAGTATCTTCTAGGATCCATCGGAGCCTTTAAAATTCCTTTTCCAGATTCCAAAAGCCTTAACATAGCATTAGATCTGTCTTCAGAGTTAGGGGCTGGAGAGATGGCTTAACAGTTTAAACTGTGCTCTGCTCTTGTAGAGGAATTAAGTTTAGTTCCCAGTACCCATGTTGGTAAGCTCACAACTACCTGTAACCCCAGCACCAGGGGACCCAACACCCTTCCTCCTCTGACCTTCACATGGACCTGCACACAAGTGCACATAACCCTGCCCCACATACATACAGTTAAAAGGAAACAACATTTTAAAAAGGTGTCTTCAGAGTTACCATGAAATTTAATCACGCTAAGTGGAAGTAACACGTCCTGAGCAATCCAAAAACAATCCTCAAGCAGTCTCCCAAGTCTTCACAGCCCCAGCACCCGAGACATGGCCACTGCAAGGCGCACCGCAGGGCACCAGTGTCAGACTCTTAGCAGAGGAAACAGTGAATGTATGCCATACACAGGAGGGACTGGAACAAACCCATGTCACTTCCTCCCTAACTTACCTGGCTGAAGACTTAAAGCGATCTAAGAACTGAAGTCTCAAGCTCTCGTGCCCCGGGAGGTCAATCAAAGTCAGGCTATTGCCCTGAGGACAGCAAGAGTGACATGAAATCAGCAAGTGGTCCATCCAGTTCCAGGTTAACAAGACAAATCTTCACCTTCAGATCTCGAGCAGCACACTGGTGCTGAGCTAATGAGTCAAGCAAATGTTGACTGCAGGTAGTAGGTCAGAGGGATGTCTTCGGAGCACTTCCTTAGCAAGCACTGGCGAGGAACAGGGTGCTTGCTTAGACGGCATGAGGCACAGGAAAAAATTGCAAAGATAGGGGCTGGGAAGATAGGTCAGTTGGTAAAAAGATCTCTCCAAAAACCTGTATTAAAAAAAAAAAATCCCAGTGTTGGGGGGCCACTTTTCACCCCAGTACTGGGGAAGCAGAGACAGGAAGATCCCGGAAGGTTTCTGGTCAGCCAGCCTAACCTACTTTGCGACTTCTGGGACAGTGAGAGACCCTGTCTCAAAAACCAATGTGCATCCTGAGGAAGAACACTCCCAAGCTTGCAGATGTATGTGTGTACATATGTACATATGTATATATGTGTACATACATACATACATATGTACGCACACACATACATCTGCACCCACCATGTTACCCTCCACACACACTAAATAAATAAAACAATGCCCAAAGCTCTGGCAACGAAACAGGAAGCATGGTTCCTGACATAACATGAACTAGGAGGGAATATGTGATGTAAAAACTATTTAAGATGTATAAAATTACAAGGTTAATAAATGTTAAAGAGAATGGGGACACCTTACTGCCTGAAGGAATCACAGAAGCCTGGTCTATATAAGGCTTAGGAAATACACCAATATGAGTATAAGCAGGCCACATGAAAACTGGTAAATATTCACAAATAATGTAAAGTTACAGTATGTATTACAATTCATGAGATTCTCAAACTTCTTACTGAAACATCCATAATTTTGACTTTTGAATTTTAACTATTTGTATATTAGATACACCATTTATTTGTTCCAACTCTGTCAATTTTTATTCCAATTCCTGGTCCCCTACTGGGCAAATTCCCTATACAACCTAACAGGTGCTAGTCACCATGGCAGGACCTCATCATTGAACACATGTTATTGTAGGCAGAGATGGCAAGACTATCAGGTGTAGTCCGGTTCGGGTATCAGAACCATCCATCATTTCTCACACTGACCTCATCTTCAACTACGACCACGGTGTCTGCAGAAGGAAGTCAGTACCACAGACTGGCCACAACCCTCTGGATTGGTTATGCCCTTTTGGGTAACCTGCCCAGGCCTTCATCAACAAAGTGATTACTAGTTCTGCTGCTTTGCACGCTGGCAAGAGCCTGGAGAGCCCATGCTGGGGTCTACTGTTCTGTTTCTGCAGCAGCACTAGCACTAGACCACAGTGTGAACAATACAGAGACATGACTGGGTACATTACTGCTCAGACCAGAGCAGGAGTGGGACAGGAAACAATGAGAAAGGATGAGTGTTCCTTTATGTTCAACAAAGCACAGTGCAGGCTCATACGCCAAAGGGAACACAATCTAATATTTAAGTCCCCCCACCTCCAAGACAGGGTTTCTGTGTAGCCTTGGCTGTGTGGGACTTGCTTTGGAGACTCATTGGACGACACACATGGGCCACTGTGATGCCTGGCTGACGACTACTCGTTTGTCTATCTGACTATATATCTGGAATTAATCAAAACACAAGCTGCTAGGTTCACCTGTGAGGGGTTTTTCTTAAATGGATCATCATTTCAGATGGGAAGACCCACCTTAAATCTGAACCACTTCTTTTTGGTGGCAGCCCATACACAGGATATGGAAGAAGGACGCTCTTGCTCTTTGCCTGCTTGCCCTTGCTCTTATGACAAGTGTAGTCCTTCACTGGCATTAGAGTCTACCTTTTCAGGATTCCAACTCATACCAAAGACCAGTTGAGACATCCAGCCTCATGGACTACACAACTATTGGATTCTTGGACTCTCCATTGGTAGACAGCCATTGTTGGACCACCTAGACCATAGCCTGTAAGTCATCCTAGCAAACTCCCCTTATATATAGGTAGATTCATTTTATCATTTTCTCTGTTCCTTTTATTTGCTGACAATACTTAATTCTGAAGTCACCAGAAAGGGGAAGAACAAGGTCTCTAAAATCAAAACCCTAATTCACCCCTCCATCACCTATCCTCTCATCCCTAATCAGCCACGAGCCCTCACAATACACTCACCAAAGCTCAGATAGCATTGTAAACAGCTTGGCAGTTACCACCTGTATCCTGCAGCTACACAGGTACGCAACAAGTTATTTTTCTGGTTCTTCATGGATGTTTTTGAAATGTACAATATAGAGACATTAAGAAATCACAACAATGCTCATAAAAGCAAAAGACTGTAACAACATTAAATATTAACAATGCTCTGATTAAATAAATTCTATGAGACAGCTTCTAAAAAAGTCTGGTTATCAGGGAAAGAAAACTACATTTAAGCAAATGACTGACCTATGTCTACATATTGCCTACTTATAACAAAATAAGACTCAGTGATCACTGAAGCTCACGGGGTCATGTTGGACAGACAGAACCTAGGAAGAATGAAATGTGCTGTAACCCTGTACATTAAGTTGCAAGGACAGGTGGGCAAGACTAAATCTGCTATTGAGGTTGCCAAGGGCAGACCTGTTATACAGAATACATTCTTCATAAAAGTAAGCTACAAATGACACCTATACCTTCAGACTACATCGTTCAGGAAGGTACTTCCTTGACATGCCAGTGTCCCAGTTAGCTTTGTCAACTTGACACAGCTTACAGCCATCTGAGAGGAGAAACCTCAACAAGGAAGTGCCTCCCTTAGACTGGCCTGCGGGCATGCCTGTGGGGTCATTTTCTTGATTTCGAATTGGAAGAAGGGGGCTCAGCGGATGTGGGAGAGGCCATCTCTAGGCAGGTGGTCCAGGGCTATGAAGAAATCTAGCCAAGGAAACTAAAGAGTGAGTAAGCAAGCCGCTTTTCTGCATGGCTCCTGCTTCCAGGCTCTTCCCCTTCTTTCCCTCAACAATGGATGATGACCCAGGAATGTGACCCAGATTGAATGTTCTTCTCACGTGCTTCTGTCCAGACTATTTTCTCACAACCACAGAAATGAAATAAGAACTCATGGTAAGGAAGAGTATCGGAGTCCAGAACATTCCACGGATATCTTACCCTGTTATTGTTGACTTTGTAAGCAGCAGAACTGTCGGTAATAGAAGTCTGTGTGTCTCTGTAGTGGCCAGTTAGCAACTGTAAAAAAAAAACCAAGATGGACGCAATCAGGCTGAGCACACTACAATAACACCAAACCCAATTTAAAGAATATCATTCTAATTTTCTCAAACGGAAAGTCAAACAAATGAATGCTGCTTGAAATAGCTAAAAAGGATCACACTGGTTTGTTTTTAACCTTAGAAAAATATAATTAATTAAAAGCTTCATTCCTCTTTTTTTGCAATGCTGGTGAACTAACTCAAAACCTTGGACTTGCTTCAAAAGCAACTCTACCACTGAGGGATACCCTTGGTCAAACTTTTTTTTTTTTTTTTTTTTTTTTTTTTTTTTAATGGCAAGGGGCTAAATAGAGTGACCTGTAAACATTTTAACCACCAACTCCAATTCAGGGCCTCAGGAGATGTTTCAGCAGATGACACACTTGCTCTGCAACCCTGACATTGACAGCCTGAGTTCATATAAGCCCATATAAAAGCAGATCTAGGAGTGCACACATTCATAGCCACAGTACTCAGATGGGAAATGGGAGGAGCCAGGAGGAGCTCCAAAAATTCAGAGAAGCTATCCTGACACAGCAATGAGAGAAGACCAATACCTGTGGTCCTCTGACCTCTGTGCCAGGGCACACAAGTACTAGCACTCACACACACATGGTTAATAATAATAATAATAATAATAATAATAATAATAATAATAATAATAATAATAATAATAAAAAATGTATACCCTCCAAAGGAAGAGTGTAAATTCTCCATAGTAAAACATGCTTCATTAGAAAAGACTGGCTAGTCAGGTGGTGATGGAGCACACCTTTAATCCCAGCTGACAGATCTTAGAGTTCAAGGCCAGCCTGGTCTACAGAGCGAGTTCCGCAACAGCCAAGGCTACACACAAAAAACCCTGCCTCATAACAAACAAACAAAAAACAAACCAAAACAAACAAACAAAAAAACCTGGTTGCATAAAACTAAATATTAGTAAAAGGGAGCCTCACTAGTGTAAACTATCAGAGGAGGTTCATTTTCTTTGATAATGCTGGATTGCTTAGAACTGGCAATGATGGGACTATTTTATGTCACAAGACTCAGCAGCAAAAGTTATTGGACTTCCTTTTTTTATTATTGATTATTTAGACTGAAGAAAGAGTAATAAAGCAGGCCACACTTAAAGGTGTATGTCTATAGCCCTTATATTCTGGCTAGCGCAAGCATGCACGTGTGTGTGTGTGTGTGTGTGTGTGTGTGTGTGTGTATACACTAGAGGTATACCTACTTTATTTTTTGAGGCTGTGTCTCTCGCTGAACCTGGAGCTCACACCTAGCAAGGCTGGCCAGCTAAGAAATTCCAGGGATCCCTTGCATTTCTACCTCCTCAGCACTGGAATTACTGATAGGCACCTCTGGGCCTGGCTTTACGTGAGTTTCAGGGATCCAAACTCTGGTCCTCATTTTCATCAGGCGAGCACTAAACTCCTCAGCCCCAGACCATGTATTCTAACAGTATCATCCGCCTCAGCAAAGAAGCTGTCCATGCCACTGATGAATAAAGTCTGGTGGACATCTTCAATGTTCCACTGTCCTCTCTTAAACTAAAAAGCCTATAAGCCAACATTCATGTCCTGTATCACAGGTAGCAACAGTGAAATTACTGACAAATCGATCGACAGACTGGGACACAAATGTCTTTGCCCAATCTTGGTCCAACTGCAACCACGATGTGGCTGCTGACACAAAGCATATTCTCTAAAAAACAATGCGCTATACAGAATTCACAACACGGTTTACAATGAGTGAAATATATTGTTTCGAATTTCGGAGCATTTTTCGGCTTAAGGATGCTAAAGTGATAAAAATGTATGCAAATTTCCACAGTTCAAAACATCCAAAAATCTGAAAGTCTCTGAGGAGCTATTAGAAGGGTTTATTACCCAAAAACAACTCTTTTGCCATCCTCACCCACAGAAATACAGAAGTCTCTCTGTATTCCCAGGTAAGTCAAGAATTGACTCCCAGGGCTGAAGAGTCATCTACGTTGGCTAAGAACACATACTGTTCTTGCAAGGGACCAGAGTTCAATTCCCAGCACCCGCAGGAGGCAGCTCATAGCAGCCTGTAACTCCAGCTCCATGCAACCTGATACCTCTGGCCTCTCCAAGCACAGGTACTTAATGTGCACATACCCATACACATTAATTTAAAAGAAAATAATTTAAAATATATATATATATAAACCTTAAATTATTTTTAAACACTTCTCCCAAAGTTGCTGACACAGTTTCCTGTACCAAAGAAACCGAAAGATGACAGACATAGTGAAATGCCATGACAGTTCTATTGAGGTTAACAGGGGTAGTCGTCAAAGCATTACCCTGACAAACAGCAACGTTTTCCCAGAGTCACAGAGGCCAACGAAGAGAACAGCTCTCTGACTGCTCTTTCGGCTCCAGATAAACTTCCAGAGCACTGCAGATAAGAGAAAAACAGAACCTTCATTTTCAAGGGAATTAATTGGCATTTACGACAAAGTACGTTCATCTGGACTACTTTCATTGTTAAACCCCATTAGAGTCAGTACTGTAACAGTTCGGAGCCCATTGAGTACCAGCCAGTACTGACTGTCAGCTTTTCCACGCCTCATGTCCCTCATCTCTTCAGTGGAGACTTGATCCACAGAACCATGAATTTGAGAAAAACTGGTGGCTGGCTTAATTTGATTGGCGGGTTTCTACTCTCCCTTAGTATCTGAGTAGCCCAGATCCCAGCTCACAGATAATAAACGCATCTCAAAGTTGGTGTGAGCAATGGCGGCCTAAGCGTCCTGCGCTAAGGCACACAGGGGCGCCTTACGTACTCCTGTCTCGACACCAGGTCACTTCGGAGTCGCCTTTCGATACTGCTCGGGTCTGGAGGGTGGGTGGCCCTGGCCTGCAGCGCCGGGGCCCAACTCCGCCACCCCGCCCTTGCCACGACCGCCTGCTCCTCACCCAGCGTCAGGAGTACCGCGAGCAGCGCCACCGACACCGACACCAGCGTGGGATCCCTCTGCTGCAGTTCCTGCCGCAAGGAATCCAGGTAAGGCTGGAAGGCGCCCTCGGCGCCATCCCCAACACGCCGGGTGTTCGCGGAAGCCATGGAGGAGTTGCTTGATCTTCCCGGACCGCCTAAGCGACGTGGCCCTAGGCTCCGCGCCGCGGAGCATCTCGGGAGTGGTAGTTCCTAAAGGGTATTCTCGTCTACAGGCCGAGGGGAGCGCCAAGTGCCTGATGGGAGTTGAAGTTTTTTGGTTTCTACAACCCACTTAACTAATCTAGGGATACTGTCCTGCTTTAGAATGTGTATATATTGTCTCTATCTCCTTTGTGGGGTTTTTTTCCATACACTTAAATTTTTATCTTTGGAGAATTTCATACATGAGTATGTGTTTTGGTCAAATCCACCCTTCTACTTCCATTACTTTTCGATTGTTGAAAGAACAATGATTTTGAGCAAAATTAATGGCTGCCAAATTCCATTTGAGGATTTCTACTCTGACTGTACATGAGACGAGACTTATGAAACATTTTACCAGAGTATAAGGTGGCAAGAGATATGACAGAAGGAATAGCAGTGAAGAATGGGAATCCACAAAGACACACAGGGCCCTTTATAAGATGAGAGAAAAGTAGCTACAGATGGAACTGAATCTTGAAGGACAGGTAAACCTATGGTGGCAGCTAAAAAAAAAAAAAAAAAAAAAAGATGCACCGAAGGGAAAAATAAGTAAAAGCCAATGAATGACCCTTGGGAAACTCTGTAAACTGTCTCCTGCATTGAACATGCCCACCATGGAAAACTCAAATGACTATATTTTAAAATACAATCAGGGAAATCGTGCTCAGAAGGGCTGGGGGTGGGGGGTGTCACAATAGATTGCTTATTTTCACCCATAGGAAACAGGCCCCACTCAACCAGTTAGGCCATTTGATTGAGAGCTGAGGTAGACCAGTTTTCCAGTTTCTCAAGAGAACTTATTTATAAAAGATTTTCATGGGAACTCTACATGAGATTTCAGGTACTCGAAAACATTCAAATATGTGTGCTCCGATTCAAAATCACATCTGCTGATCAGAAGTGGCCAAGCCTAGAGGGCTTTGCACATGTGTGTGCGCACGCACACAACACACACAACTTTTCTTCTTCTTCAGACATATCACTGTTGACCCGTAATCCCAGCACTCAAGAGACTAATTCAAGATGGCAGCCATGAATTTGAGAACAGCCTGTCTTAGTTACCTTTCTATTGCTGTGAACAGATGCCTTGGCAAAGAGAGTTTGTAAAAGAAAACATCTATTTGGGATTCATGGTACCAGAGAGAAATAGAGTCCGTGACCCTCATGGTGGGGAGCGTGAGAGCAGGCAGACAGACATGGCACTGGAACGGTAGCTGAGAGTTCCCATGCGGAGATAAAGAGATCTAACTGGAAATGATGTGGACTTTTAAAGCTTCAAAGCCTGCCCCTGGGATGTCTTTGTCCTAGTTACTGTTCCATTACTGCAAAGAAACGCCACAACCAAGTCTCCTGCTTGCAGGAGAAAGCATTTAATTGTGAACCTGCTTACAGTTTCAGAGGGTGACCTTACATTTTGATTTTGGAAGCAGAGAGTAAGAAACTAGGCCTTTTAAAACCTCAAAGCCCACCCCCAGTGACACACCTCCTCCAACAAGGCCAACCTCCTAATCCTTCCCAAACAGTGTCACCAACTGGGGACCAAACATTCAAATATATGAACTTATGGGCTCATTTTCATTCAAAACCACCACACAGCCTGACCTACACAGTAAATTCCACACCAACCTCAGTTACATAATGTGAGGTTTTATATCATCCTCTCTTTGAAAAAAAAAATCACTGTTCAAATATTATTAGATAAAAGATTGTTGCGATCATATGGTAGAAAAGTGTGTTCATGCATGTGCATTGGTATGTGTGTGTGTGTGTGCGCGCACGCGCGCACGTCCAGGATGGCCTCAAATTTGCTATGCAGCTAATGATGACCTTGAAGTCCTGATCCTTCTGCCTTCACCTCCCGAGTGCTTCGATTGTAGGTGTTCCCCACTGTACCTGGATCAACTGTTCTTTCTTTCTTTATTTTTTTCTTTTGACTTCTTAAGAAACCTTTATGCTGTCTCCCATAGTGGCTGTACCAAACTACATTTCCACCAACAGTGTATCAGAGTTTCCGTTCTCCACAATCTCACCACTGTTTGATACATTTTGACTTTTCAATAGTAACTGTCTCAGTGAGTGTAAGGTAGTATCTCACAGGGATTTGGGTTTTCCTTTTCCTAATGGCTAATGATGTTTAGCACATTGGCGGTGGCCATGCAGCATCTACAGGAACAGTACATGAGTGCTTCACTGTTGGGACACTATCGGGGCAAGGCCCATGGAAACCCCTTCCCACTTGACAAAGACCTGAACTGAATTTTGATGGCCTCTATGCTTATTACCTAGATCATGTGTGCTGCAAGCTCTCCTTGCTTTCACTGTGCTGTTTATACTCATAGCAATGTTTAGTTACACCTTGTCGGTCACAGGCAAGGTCGGCATCATGCAGGCTGAAAGCCCTGACAGTTCTGCTTTTCTCAGAACTCTTTCAAGAGGTAAAACCCTCCTCTCTTCTCTCTACCTCTATTGATCCTCCAAATGTGGGCCATTAATCCTGAGTATTTGGGGACATATAATCATGTCCCTAGAGAAACAGCTACAGTCACACTGAGGAAGCCTGTGGCAGCTGTGGAGAGCAATGGGTCCTGCTTGCATAACTGTTGTGAGAAAGCTGTGCCTAATCAAAAGAGACTTGGAAAATGGGGAAGTTGTGCCTGATCAATAGAGACTTAAAACATGCGGAAGTCGTGTTTGATAAATAGAGACTTAAAAAATGCTTCCTGGAAGGATGGTATCAGAAATTGCTAGGCACCTGTCAGGAAAGGTTGCTTGGTACAATGGACATGTCTCTGTCTACATTTTCAAAAGTCTTGTGACAGAGGGGTCCTATTTGATGACTGGACTTATACCCACAAATGGCTAATCTGTCTCTCACCTTGCATAACTGTGTAACTGCATTTGCTGCCAGCTTGGTATGTGCTCATGTCCAGAGGACATGCCTAGCTAGACATTATTTTTGGCTTACTGAAACTGTGCTTTGTAGTGAAAAATATGGTTGGAGCAGGTGTGTGACCCAGTGAGAGTGGGACAAGGAGGATGGGGAAGTGGGGACTTTCTGTAATGATCGGGCTTATGTAATGCTGGTGTTATGATTCCTTTAGATAAAATAACCAACGATGTCTCTGATCAGACAGGCAGGCTTGTTATTGTATTAATAAAGACAGCTCGAGCTATTCGGGGCCACCTGCTTGAACATCCACAGGTGGTCAGCGTCCTCACTTTTGCCAACACCACACGTCTGTCCTCAGATTCCAGAACCCCATCAGTGCAGGCCGCTGGCAGACCATTTCATATTCCTATTGATAATTTGTCGTGTGTGGGAGAAAGTCTCTGCCAGTCATTTTTTAAATACTTATATTTTGTGTATGTGTGTGTGTATGTATATATATATATATCTGTTTGTATGCACGCCCTACATGGGTTCAGGAACCTGAAAAGGTCAGAAGAGGCATTGGATTCCCTGGAGATGGAGTAACAGAGTTATTTTTAAATATTTTATCTTAATTATGCTTGTATGTACAAGCATGTGTGTCTGGGTGTAGGTTTGTACACATGAGCCCAGTTCCCCAGGGGTTGTGGATGCTGAGCTCTGTCAATGGTCTCAAGTGCTGAGCCACTTCTCTAGCCCCTCATTGGGTCTTTTGATAATTTTTTTTAAAGATGTAACTTAATTACTTTTAAGTATTTTGTTTTAAGTATGCATGTGTGTATAGGCGTGCGTGAGTTTGTGCATATGAGTGTGGTACCCACAGAGTCCAGAAGAGGGCATTGGATCCACTGGAGCTTGAGTTACAGGTGTGGGTGCTGGATGGGGACAGAACCCACACCCTCTACAAGAGCAGCATCTGCTCATAATCACTGAGCCGTCTCTCCAGTCCCATCTCCACCTCCAAATGCTCTCTCTCTCTGTTGACACGGTGTAGCGACTTGAATAAGAATGGCCCCTATAGGCTCATAGGTTTGAGTACTTGCTCCCCAGTTGATTGAACTGTTTGGGAAAGATTAGGAGGTGTGGCCTTGTTGGAGGAGGTGTGCCACTGGGGCCTTGCTTTGAGGTTTCAAAAGACTTGTGCTCTCACTCTTTCTCTGCCCCGCAATTGTGGATGTAGACATTAGCTCCTGGCTGTTCCTATCACCATGCCTTTGCTTTGACATCATGGACTCCAACCCTCCAAAACCATAAGCCAAATTAAACACTTTCTCTTATAAGTTGCCTTGGTCATGGTGTTTTATCACAGCCTAGGGGAGCGTAGGATGATTCCCTCAGGTTTTATTTGTTGGTTGGTTGATTGGTTGGTTTTGTTTTGTTTTGACACCGGGGATCAAACTTGGAGCAAGTCATCTATCAATAAGCTACACCCCCAGCCTCTGCCTTTGATTTGTTGTGTTTCTGACTGCTGTAAGACTCTATAGATCCAAAGGTGGAAGAGGATGCCGGAGACTTGAGTCACAGCCGTGACTCTGGATGCCCAGAAGTCGTTTGCATTGCTAGAAGGGAATATGAAAAGAGAGGGGAACACTGGGTCAAAAGAAGAATTCTTAAGATACCCAGGCTAATAGGATAAGCTCACAATTCAGACCACAAGTGAACAAAGAGGTGGGAATCCAAGAGAGTGGCAATGTCAGAGAGGGAAAAAAAGTCCAAAGAAAATGTGTGTGTGTGTGGGGGGGGGGCGTTGGATACCTGCATGGAGTGCAGGAAACAGGCTTGAGAATAAAGAAGCAAGTTGGTTTAAGAGTTGGTGGGTGGCAGCGACTTCTGTCAGGGTGGAAATGTACGGCTGGTGACTGGTTGCTATGTGTTCAGCCAACGACTTATTACTCATACATGGGGAAAACAGGAATGAGCCTATACCTTACAGGAAAGCGGGCTGAGAAGGGGAGGAGACAGGGCAGGAATGAGACAGGGGCTGGGTCCCAACCTTCCCTGGGCACTAGGCAGATTGTAAAAATCTGTTAAAAGTTACTGTCGGTGTTAAAATTCTGAGCTCCTGAGCCATTCTTATTTGGAGCACTTCTTTTGATGTTCATTTTGAACAAACAAACCAAGACCTTGGGAGATGGGACGTTTTGATTTTCTAGCATCTTTTGCATGGCCCATTACTGACTTGGCTGTCCAGTAAGGGTGGAAACAAGCAGCCTACAGGAGGACCGGAACGCTAGAGGACGCCATCTGACATGCCTGCCCAGCCCTACCCCACTCCCAACTGCGGAACATCCTATAAGCCAAAGTTCCCAATGACCAGCGTTTGAAGACCTTCTCCTTATCTACCCATCAGTCTAGCTGACTGATGGAAAAGGAACCCCGCCCACTGATAACAGAAATTGCTTGTTATGTTCTCAGGCTCGAAGGAAGAGTTTTAGCAAAAGCTGTTTCAGATTTGCTTTTGGACCATGGCTATTACGTCAAAATGAATTAATAAAAGTAAGTCTTCTATCAACTTATCTGGTACTCACTGGGGCGTTTATTTGTAATAGATTCTTCTTTCTGGCATCACCAGCATACTCATGCGCGCGCACACACACATGTGTGTGGCCATATAGATTTTTATTCTATTAGAATAACCTTGGGGACCCTTTTCAAAAAGGTCTCTCCTGAGCCTTTTTGAACCGAGGAGCTGTGTCTGTGGACCCTACATAGAGCCAAGAGAAAGAAAACTTGAATTTTTTTTTTAAGATTCTTATTTTTAAACATTACTTTTTATCTTTTATTTTTATGTGTGTGTGGTTGTATGCCCTACATGCATGCAGGATTCTGTGCAGCAGAAGAGGCAACTCCCTGGAACTAGAGTTACAGACAGTTTTTCGATGCCATGTAGATGCTAGGAGTTGAACCTGGGTCCTCTAGAAGAGCAGGCAATGCTCTTAACCCCTGAGCTATCTCTCCAGCTCCAACTCCTTGGCTCTTGACCTCAGAAGACACGGTTCAGTGTTTATACAATGTCTAGTCAGTTTGTATAAAAAAGTCCTGGTGAAAACATTAAAAAAAAAAAAAACGGAGTTTGGGGAATATAAAGTCAATAGTCATTTTTATTTTGTGCCCTATGTATATGGTAACACACAGCAGTGAAGGTGGACACAGCCCGAACCCCTCAGGCTGTGGAGGCCAAGGGAGGCCCGTGGATCGTGTGAACATCGGTCTCCATCACAGTGGCAGCCCACCTCTTGGATTTTAATTTTTGTGGAAAGTGCAGGCTTCTAGGAGTCCTGGGGAGAGAAGAGAGACATGGGGCATTCAGAATGTTCTTACGTTTACAGACTTTTTAGGAACTGAAGAGTTCAGCATGACGTGAATGTGCTGGCCCCGTTGTTCTGCAGTTTCTGATGCATGCTGTGACCCAGTGCCACCCAGTCTCTACTTGCCTCTGCAGCTCCTGAGCCTGCCACAGGGAGGACCCCACAGCAAGGATGAAGATACTGCCACATGACTTTCCTGCCCTGGGGCACCCCCCACCTTGTTTTTCATGGGTGAGGCTCTGCACCTGAATTCATATAGCCAGAAGTTACTCAGGAAGACTCTTCCCTGAGATTTTTTTTTAGGCAGATGGTAGCTGGTGGTCCCCAGAAACTTTGGAGCTGGCTCTAGGGATGGGTGGAGAATAGCAAAGCTAGACTGTTCTCTTGGACAGCAGATAGGTCAGAGAAGTATTAACTTGGATTTTGTAACTATGGACCTTGACAAGCACATTGCTTATATTAGAATTACATGTGGCAATTTATAACAAATATGTATTATTATATTATATTATATTATATTATATTATATTATATTATATTATATTATATTATATTATATTATATTATATTATATTATAGTCTCCTTCTACTGTCAGATCTTGGGATCAGACTCAGGTCATCCGGCCTGTACCAGAAGCTCTTTTACCCACTGAGCCATCTTGCCAATCCACCTGTGGAAACCTTGAAGGTGCCATCACCCTGAGCCTGTCAGGCTTTATCTCCAGGACATCAACTTAAATTAAGGCCAAGACTCACCTACCACCAACTGAAGACTAACCAACTTGCACCACATGATTCTCTTACACTTTCCAAATGCTTTTGAGTGATTTGATTATTCCTCAAACAGATTGCTAATTGGACATACTGGTTGCCATATTGGACAAGGACCTCTAATGAGACTGGGAAGATTTTTTTATCTTCTTGGGAATAAGACGGGATTGCACACGTGTAATAAGTTCACTGCCCTAAGGTCTTGGATCTGTGGTCCCTTTAAAATATGTGCATGTAATCTATCCAGTTGTGTGTGCTAGGTTTCATAGTGCCCATGTGGCTTTTTTTTTTTTTAAGGGTTTGACTTCTTTTAACCACCATTCCAGAACCCCCATCACTGGGCTTTCTTTGCATCTTCTCCACACCGTTTGTTCTACTCACGTGAGGTTGAGCACTTTCTCATGTTACCAACAGCTTGGACATACTCGGCTCCTAAGTAGTCTTCTAATGTGGTACCATCGGGAATCTTAACCAAACATTTGGTGTCATGTCTGAACAGAAGGTCCGCGGTAGAAGACTCTAACTTGCAGGCATTTTTAGTGCAGTTAAATGCAAGTAATTTCTGTCAAATGAACAGAAAATATATGTGAACCGATGTCCCCGTGTGGGAAACATCTGCATTGCAGGAGGCTGAATGCCCCAAGCCAGCCCTGGGAACAAAAGAAAGCTACAGAGTATGCCTTGGGAAATTTTTGTTTCCTTCATCTGCCTTCTACCCACTTGAAGCCTGAACTGCATGCTTCCACAACACCCCCAAAGTTCTCTGTACGATCCCGTGTCTTACTGTCCTGAGGTTTCCCACTCCCTCAACCGTCCATTCCCACCTTCTCTGAACTCTTCCACTTCATCACCTTCAAGTACCTTGGAAGTGGTTATAGGAAGTGAAAAGTACTAACCCCAGGAAGACATCAGGTATGAACCCTCTAGAGAAATGGAAGAAAGGAAGAAAGGAAGGAAGGAAGGAAGGAAGGAAGGAAGAAAGAAAGAAAGAAAGAAAGAAAGAAAGAAAGAAAGAAAGAAAGAAAGAAAGAAGTTTCTGTTTGGATAAATTTTAAATTTGTCTTAGGCCAGCAACTTAGCTTCCGCATCCTCTCAAGGTTGTAAATGATGATGCTAAGAAGGATAGCATTCCCATCATGCATGAGAAATAGTCTTTTACAGATTTATTTATTTATTTTATGTATGTGAGTGCTCTATCTGCATGTACACTGCACACCAGAAGAGGGCATCAGGTCAAATTATAGATGGTTGTGAGCCACCATGTGGTTGCTGGGAATTGAAGTCAGGAACTCTGGAAGAGCACACAGTGTTCTTAACCTCTGAGCCATCTCTCTAGCCCATAAGGAATATTTTAAATGCTCATTATCATCATCAGGTACTCTCTTTTAAATTTTAAACTCTTTATAACTGACACAGAATTTTTAAAAATCAAGCAAGAAGCATAGGTTTAAAACACTGTAAAAATGTTCAAGAATTTTACATTGAGTCGAAAAATAAGGCCCATCTCTTTAAACACTGGTAATACTGACATGAAATGCTGTTAGCTATTAAAAGATTGTTTGATGCAAATCTAATGTCAAATCAGAAGCATCACTTGATATTATCATCACTGTTCTTAAAGGGGCTTTTGAAGGTATGCTATCCTGTTTTGCTTTCTTCTCTTTTAAAACTAATGACAAGGGCTGGAGAGATGGCTCAGAGGTTAAGAGCACTGGTTGCTCTTCCAGAGGTCCTGATTTTAATTCACAGCAACCACGTGGTAGCTCCCATAATGAGATCTGGTGCCCTCTTCTGGCATATCGGCACACATTCAGGCAGCACATTGTATACATAATAAAAATAAATAAATCTTAAAAAAAAAAAAAAAAAAAAGAACTAATAGCAAATTAAGGAAGCTATACCAGAAGGTAGGGTGATGTTTGTGTGTGGAGGAGCCCCACGGATTAAAGTACTCAGGTGGCCCCTTTACCCCCCCCCCCACCAAGGCTGTCCCTGGCAGGGTTCTTCTGAGCATAAGAGTACTGTGTTTTCCAGACTGTTAAGAACATGGTGTAATCGACCTAAGCACAAGAAAGAGAAATAATTTCCAGCATGAAGACTTGTCTGAAGGAACAGTAAGAAAAAGCATCGGTCATCTTCATTTTCAGATGAAAATGAAAAACATAGATGAGGAAAATAAAAAAATCCATCAGTCAAGGTCCAAAGGAGCTGGAAGTCACACTCTAGGGGGCTCATGGGTTAGACGAGAGCTTGTCTCTAGTGACTAGGAGTTCCACAAAAGCAGAACCAGGTCTGAGAGATTCAGTCCTAGCTAACACACTATGAACCCTTCCAGGAGACACACATTTTCTAAGCCTTTGGTATGCATTACTTCACTTAATATTGTTCATTAACTTAGAAATGGGTGTATGTATTTTTGTTTCCATTTCAAATGTGAAGAAACTGAGCATGGAAATCTTAAGCCATACACCTAGAATGGCATGGATAGAAAGCTGCCAAACTGAGATTTGCACTCGGATATTCTGACCCATGATCTGTAGACTCCAGATTCTAGTTTTCAGAAAGGAAATGCCCATTCCGAAGCTTCGCTTGGCTCCAAACTCCAAAACTACCTTCCCCTACTAGGAATAAATAATGGAGACCCTGGGGGGTCCATACCTGCTGATTAAACACTATGGTCTTAACTCGGGCTGCTATCTCTTTCCGAGTGACCACAACATGGTTCGGAGCTTGGGCCAGGTGACAGTTGGCAAACTCGTTCACAGGCTTCTTGGTGCCATCGGGGCACAGCAGCTTGAAGTCTTTCTCCTTCAGATTCTTAGCCCATGGAGCAGAGTTTTTTCCTGGGTAGAGAAAAGGGTGGATCAGCTAGATCTGACCATTTATTAGTCATTTGGCTGTCACTGACCCACCAGTGAATGGAGGGTCTGTGCCTTCTGGCCATCAGAAGCACATGTTCAAGGTTATGGCAGTGTTGGGAGAAAGAGACACTCATGTGCATTGCAGGCGATACACAACTCACAAGAGATGACTAGTGACCACTCCTCCTCCCCCTCAGCCAAATGAAAACGAGCCATGTTCTATGGGTATTATGAGAGAGAAACAGAGAGAGAGAGAGATCTTCATTTCTATTAAATTCCAATGCTAAACAACAAATCTTTTTTTTTTTTTTTTAAGCCAGGCACGGTGGTGCACTCCTTCAGTCATATCTTTTGGGAGGCAGAGACATATGGAACTCTGTGAGTCTGGAACCAGCCTTGTCTACATAGTGAGTTCTAGGCCAGCCAGAGCTACACAGTGAGGCTTGTCTCAGACAACAAAATCCCAAAGCCTTTGCACTTCTGGCTCCAGCAAAGGAAGAATGTGGTGCTCCAGGCCAGTTTCCCTATCTCCGTGCTGTCTCATCATGTCTCCAAAAGAGCTGCCCCTGCAGATGCTTTTATTTCTGCATTAGCATTTTCAGTTTGACTTCACGTTAGTCCCAGGTGAAGATGCCCTGTCTCAGGTGCTTGCCTAATCTCGTCTGCATTCTCTTTACAATAATTAATTGCTCAATCGGTCAATTTAAAAACCTTTGCCCTACCTGAGGCTTTCTCTGGTTCCTCCTGACATTTTCTTTTGCTGGTTTTCACTTCTCTCTCATAAAGTAGGATTGCGACCTTTCTCATTTCATTCATTGTTCACTCAATTCTTTTTCCGTAATTCAATAGATACCATGTGAGACCAGGGTTGTCGTATTTTTAAATGTGTTTACTTACTTACAAACTAAAGATCTCCACTCCTGAATTCCTTAAATCCCACTGGTTTCTCTGGCTCCAATCCTTAAAAGCAGTTTGTGTTTCTCTTCATGCCTCTTGTCCTTACTGGCCTACGCATGAT